TTTTTAATAAGACTTTTTCCAGAGATCTACTCCGTCAGATAGAAGACATTCCTTACCTCTCCCTCCATAGCGAAACGCCAGGACCTCCGGGCCCGAACACCATTGTCATGGGTTCGACCCCAAGCCCAATATTTAGTTTTTTTTTGCTCGAAAATGGAGGGTCTGAGCAATTTCGAATTTTTAGTGCTATCAAAGGAATCGGTCTTTGTAATTTCATTTTGAGATTTCAAAACGTCTCTTCTGATAAAAGATGAAAATTTACCTGATTCAGTATAAGACTTTTTCGAGAGACCTACTCCTTTAGACAGAATGACTTACCTTTCCAAGGCCTCCGTGACGAAAAGCTAGAACCTACGGGCCTAAACATCAAGGTCATGGGTTCGACCCCATGCACTGGCTAAATTTTTTTCCTGAAAATGGTGTGTCTGTTCAATGTTGAATTTTTAGTGCTATCAAAGGAATCGGCTTTTCTAATTTCATTTTGAGATTTGAATACGTTTCTTTTGATGAACGAGCAAAATTTACCCGATTCAGTATTAGACTTTTTCGAGAGATCTACTCCCTTACACAGAATGAAATTCCTTTCCAAGGCCTCCATAGCGAAAAGCCAGGACCTCCGGGCCTAAACACCATGGTCATGGGTTCGACCTCAAGTACCGTCTTTATTCTTTATTTCGAAAATGATGTGTCTGATCAATGTCGAACTTTTAGTGCTAGTATCGGAATTGGCGGGTGTCATATCTTTTTGTAATTTGAATAGGTTTCTTTTTATGAACGAGCAAAATTTACCCGCTTCAGTATTAGACTTTTTCGAGAGACCTACTGCTTTAGACAGAGTTACATTTTTTTATACGTTCTCTATAGCGACATGATTGGACTGTGGAAATGTAAACACCATGGTCATGGGTTCGACCCCAAGCACCGTCTTTAGTTTTTTTTTTCGAAAATGATGCGTCAAAACAATGTCGAATTTTTAGTGCTATCATAGGTATCGGCCTATGTTAATTCATTTTGAGATTTCAATACGTTTCTTGTGATAAACGAACATGATTTACTGTCCTTATTATAAGACTTTTTCGAGAGGCCTACACCCTCAGAACGAATGACATTCATTGATTTGTCCTCCATATCGAAAAGCTAGGACCTCGCGGCATAAACACCTTGGTCATGGGTTCGACCCCAACGACGGTCTTTAGTTTTTTTTTAATGGTGCGTCATATTAATGTCGATTTTTTTGCTCTATCATTGGAATCGGCCTATGTAATTTCATTTTGATATTTCAATACGTCTCTTGTGATAAACGATCAAAATTTACCCGCTTTAGTATTAGACTTTTTCGAGAGACCTACTCCATCAGAAAGAATGACATTTCTTGCCTAATCCTCCATAGCGAAATGATTGGACAATGGAGCCTAAACTCCATGGTTATGGGTTCGACCCCAAGCGCCGTTTTTCGTTTTTTTTTCGGTATCGCTGGGTCTGATCAATGTCCAACTTTTATTGCTAGCATAGGAATCGGCATTTGTATTTTCATTTTGAAATTTGAATACGCTTCTTGTCAAGAGTGATCAAAATTTATCCGCTTCTATATTAGACTTTTTTGAGTGACCTACTCTCTCATAACTAATGCTTTGTCTTGCCTCGTCTGCCATAGGGTAATGCTTTGACCGTGGAGGTACAAACGCCATGGTCATGGGTTCGACCCCAAGCATTGCCGTTCGAATTTCAAAAATTCCTAATGTAGATCTCTTTAAAAGTTTCTAAGCTAACTTAATATAAATTTTCATGAGAATCCGTCCTCTATCCTAGAAGTGTATAGATTTTTCCTGCGACCTCTTTTGACAATTTAGGTCATTCCTTTCAATCCGGGTTGATTTTCTCTTCTCATCAGCGAAGAATGCAGGATTTTTTGTGCCTATCCTATATAGCAGGGGTGTCAAACATACGGCCCGCGGGCCGGATCCGGCCCGTTGAGGTGGTTTATCCGTCCCGCCGTCTGCTTTTGAAATTTTCCGCGTGGATTGAGTGTTAGCACAAATTTCAGTGAAATTTTATGGGTGCGGCCCGCAGGCAAAATAGGAACAGGAGTGGAGACGTACCTATATTTGTAACACCCTCTCCCTAGCCCCCCNAATTCATTCAGCTTATGAAGTCATGAAGAACTGTAGCCTCCTCCCCCCCCCCCCCCCCCCCCCCCCCCCCCCCCCCCCCCCCCCCCCACCCCATCCCTCGTCATTTAATCATTGACACGTTTTTAGGTATGCCTACTTGAAACCTTTATTTTTTTGTTAATTTTATTACCTTTTTGCTTTCGTTACATGTTATTTTTCTCCTTATTTTCCATTTTCATAAAAATATTATTTCTCTCCGATTTATTAGCGACAAAAACAACGATCAATCCAGCGGGCAGTCCATTCCTCTCGTTAATACTTTTTTTTTAAAGATTTAGAGCTCAGCGAGGAAATGGATTAGGCATGGATTACCTTGCATACTGAATGTGGAAGGAGGAGTGCATACATTTAGGTGAAACCCCATCGAAGAAAGAAAAGTATTCCAAGGCCTTAATTGCTGAATTTTTTAAAATAGCATTTTCCGTAATCGCTCGGCGCGGTCCCATGAGAGTCTGCTATGAGATACAAAGATCCTGATGTAACACAGCTTCTCCTTGCATTACGTAACCATTAATTCATCCGTAACCAGAAATTCATTCAGGTATGCACGAAAAGTTCAATTCTGATGTTACGGTCATGAGAAATGTGGAGCTTTGGAATAGATTCCAATTTTCGATAAGTATGGGAAGAAAGCTCCATAAATTACGCTCGCCAATGGTGAATTTTCATTCCCTTTCACAAGCCAGAATAGGAACAGTGACACTGGGAAGAATACCTGGCCCGTGTACCTAGCTCTAGATACAGAGGGAATTACTAAGTTCATGCAGCTAAAGTTCTGCAAACAATTTCCGAAGACAGTGCAACCTTTCAAATCTCTAACGATTCCAAGTATGGATATGCTTAGAAAACTTCATTGATCATATCCTTGGAATTTTCAAAATAGATTTCCATGTACGAAACTTGAAGATGCAGATGAAGCAAGAGAAAAGGGTACCAGACTCAAATAGTGCCTTTAGTAGGTTTCTCCTGGATATGGGGCAGGGAGAAGGGGGGGGGGGGGGGGGGGGGGGGGGGGGGGGGGGGAAGTTTGGTGTTCATGTGGCCAAATGTTTCCGATTTGTATCTTGATTCGACCCGTCAAACGGCTATCAAGCAGAAAATTTAGCAAGGATATATGGCTAACTATTCGTCGAAGGTGACAAGAACGACCACATTCAGTACTTCTCTCGGGACCCACCAATACATTTATTCACAGATCTTGAATCCCAGAGAATCGACTTTTTCCTTAACAATCTGAAGCATGCCATAAACACATGGCACCGAGATTTCATTCCTTTCCTTACCACGTCTGAGTTTGCACGCCCTCCTTTTAAGTGAATCTGAATGGCAAAGCCAAGTTGGCTTTTTTAAAATTCAAGTTTACGGAATAGTCATGAACTCTTGAGTATTCCAAGAGTATTCATTGACACGCTCGCGAGTCTCCCTCTATGATTGGGGATATAGCTATATACAGTAGGTTAAAGCCACCTGGAAAGAAGACCCCCAGAATTGTCAAAAGCTGAAAAAAAGCCACCCGAGATGAAAATGCATGAAAGCCACCCGTGTATTTGCTTCGTAATTATTCATTTCTTTATATTTATACATATCAGATAATTAAAGACTTTCACTTGGTGATGTTGAGATACATTCACACAGGGATATGGCTCATTATTATCCATGTTTTTAATATTTAAGGTGAATTTCCATCAATTACTCAATTAAAATATATCTGATTTTTAGTTTCCATTTAGCATAAAACGATGGAAGATGCGAAGCATCGCTCGATTGGAAGCACTTCTTTAAATCTACTTTAAAAAAAAATTATTTTCCTACTTTCATTATGAAGGGGAGAAGGACTCTGTTCGGCTATGAACATGGACTCATCTCAATGCAGTGCTTGAACAGGCTTCGGGGGGGGGGGGGGAAATTAAGGGGGGGGGTTAATACTGACCCTCTTCACTCCCTGGAAAAGGTGTGAAAGTGGATAGTAGGGAGATAAAGAAAGAAACCTTACATGAAGCAATTGTTATTTGAGAACAAATTCCAAGAAGCGTTCAGAGTGGAATCACCTCATCCTACAACACGGCCACAATCAAAAGATTTCCTGCGGGGGGGTTGGCATTTTTCTGGGGCTTTTTTGGGGCTGTTCATTTTTAAGGAATGGGGTGAAGTTAGACTTGTTTTATTTTTCAGAACATTTCAGTGAAGTTGATCAAATTACAGGACATCAATTTCACTAAATGCCCCAAAAATGAATGAGTCTTTAATCTGACCCGAACATAACGGGATTACACTTTTCTGCCTTTGTCAAATCTGGGGGTTTTATTTCCGGGTGGCTTTTTCCCTAAACCCCTATAATTATTGCACAGCTTTCCTTGCTTTGCGAAACGCAAAGATGTCAATGACATGATCATGACATGACACTTTCTTTGCTACTTGATTTTATTTTCACTGCGCAACACTTTTTTTTTTCTCTTTTGTTTTCTGTGCCTCATTCGCCTTTCGCTTGCTTCGCCCCCCTCCCTTCTCGGCGCCCCCTTCCTTAGGTGGCGCCCGGGGCGGGTGCTCCCCCTTATTTACGGCCCTGCGCGAATGCTGCAAGTGATGACGTCGTGGCTGCCCCTTCCATGAGTAGCTTTAAGAGGGGGCTAGACGACTTCATGAACAAAACAAAGGAAATGCGAATATAAGGGACTAGGATATGCAAAAAAATAATAATAATAAACGGTAAAAAATTAACTTTAAGAGAAATAGGCCTATCCTGTTACTGGCACTGGCACTGGAACACTCGACGCGGGATATCTCTATGGGCGTAATCGTCTCTTGATGCCTTGGTACAAGATGATGAAGGGAAATCAATTGGATGTCAAGTGATCAGTGTGTTATGGACAACTGGGCTCTACTCTTGGCAGCGTCTGCCATTGAAACACAGGCTCCCATTTTATGTCTGCTACTGTCTGGTTCCCTAGTTTCTTGATGCCACCGTTAGACTCTTTGGTTTCATGCCCGAAGGTCATCAGGAAGCGGTGGCAGAGCGTCATTAAACATCCATTTCCATCTGTTGAATGGAGTTGTAACAGCTGTATTATCCCATTTTGTCAGCAAGAATGAATTAGGAGCCGTTATGACTGATATTTTTTCTCTACATATGCCCCACTTTTGGGTGGAAAATGTGCAAAAGGCTTAACTTTGAAGGTCAGTTTCTTCAAAGATGATGTGTGCAACATAGTCCCTGTTTGGGACCCAAGTGATTGACTTGAAAGGAAAACATACATAATTTGTGATAAGGTCATGAGCAAACTAGGCGAGTTATTGACTCAATTTACCTTGTGGTCTAGCATCCTTTCATTTCTAGCAAGTCCTCCAATTCTGTTACTTGGAATGAAGTCTACATGTGGTTGGAATGTGATAAGAGTGTACCTGAGGTGACCTGGGCTAAACCTTGAACTTTTGCTGGTATGGGGATGCTTGAGGGCTTCATTCAGAATCAATGGAAGATCTATGCTAAGAAGAGGAATGAAGAGGAGTGAGTAATTTCACTCCCTGGCTTATTTTGTTCAAGTGTCTCCCCAATGTTGCATTCTTGAAGTGAAGCAACTCTAGAAAGTGTCCTCAGTCAGTGGATAAGTTCATCAATGAAGCCTTCATCTGGAGGAAACTGGCAGAACAGTTCTGCAGATATTGATTCATCATGATTCATTGGAAGGAGCTGAAGAATGGGTGAGGAAGACAATTGAGATCCACTCACAAGACCAATGACCACATATCTATTCAGAATGTGAAATGGAAAATGAGAAGACACATGATCATCTGTGGAAATTTTGCACATAAACAGTTGGTGAAGGAAGGGAAGATGCATGGTTTCCAATGAATTTGGAGATTTAGAATGTAGAATGGACTACAGCCTGGAGGCCTCAGGGATTTCCATATATCTGAATGACTGGTAGAAATTGGATGGACAAGATCCCAACGGTTATGTTGGTTTCATGTAGGCCATCTGTGGTGTTCAAGTACAATGAAGCTACTTGGGTTATGAAGGCTTTATGTGCAATTTCAACAGGAGTGGCATCCTCAGGAAAGTTGGATAAATTTGCAAACAGAAGGATGATGGAATAAAAAAAAATTCTGAAATGTTGTTGTTTCCTATGAATGAAGAGTGTTCATGCAATTTGCAAGGTTCTCTTTTTTTTGTTGAAAAAGTGAATGCATGAATGTTTATACCTCTTCAGATGTAGCAAACCCCAGGGGGGTCACAGGATATGGGGCACGAATGCCTCACTACATATGGGGGTCAGACCCAATGTGGTCGGATGGTAATCAAGAAGGTTGCATGTTTAGATGGTAATTTGGCAAGGGAGAAGCGAATCTCTATTAGCTCTGCTGACTCCAAGTAGGAAGGAAGGTATGTCCTTGGATCAACGTTAACAACTGTGTAGAATTTATTAGGATACTCAATGGGAGAAAGAGCAGTAGGAGAAATGCAGGGAAGATACAGCCTCCTGTTCAGGGCATGTTCGTAAGGGGGCCAGCATTTGCTGCTATCAAGGTGAGTCATGCATTGTTGGACCTCAGTTCATGCCAATTTTAAACTTTCTAGCATCATTATTTAGAAAGTTATGCCATATTTTGTGGATTGCACTAATAACAAAACACCCTGTATTTGAATTGAACTGGCTATTGAAATATCTCATTTACATTTAAAGAAACATCATTATCACTATAGTCATATATATTCCAATCAATTATAACAGAGTATTGTCCTAGTGTTGGCTGTGGAAGCACAAGAATGGAGTTCTTTGAGGAATCTCATCTTATTGCATGTATATGGTATTCTGGAGAAAGTGAGGAAGTGTGGCTTATTGGAGGATGTTTCACTTGGTCCTCAACATATGATGCCCTCTGTTTCTTTCTGGAGACCCATAGATGAAGTTGTCATGGGGACACATGGCTGTGTTCACTCAATTTGATGGTCTCATAACATCTTGTACTTGGAAAAGAGTATATAATTGCATCCAATTTTTGCTTCAATTTTCATCATTTTTCCTCCCTGTTTAGTAATCTTGGCAGCTTACAATAATGGCAATTCTACTCCTTTCTTACCTATAGTAAGCCAACCTGATTTTATATCCCCAGATGATATTTGGCAGGAAGTACCATGACCTCTGCCATCTTAGGGTAAATATGGTTTTGACAAATATTCAAACCATATAATTACCTGTAAATTTTTCACCAGTGCTATTTCATGAACTGAGGCCTTTGTATGCATTCTGCAAAAGAGACCTTAAAACTTTCTTGAAGCAAATTTTAATGTTTTCTATATGATACAAAAAATATAAAAAATTAGCTTTTCTACAATGGGTTTTACAAAACCTCAAAAAGGACCCTTTTTTTTGCATCACTCAATAGTGTCAGAGAATTAAGTGGCATGGATTGATCTGGGAACAGGTTTAGCCTGAATCAAGGGCATGTTAGCTCTTCACAAAGAGGTCTTATTTTTCCATTGAAATATATCTCAACAATGGTGATACAGCAGATCCTTTCATGCAACCCTCTTAATGGTATCAGTGCATTTCATTAATCGTATTTCTGTGATTTAAAGCCTCCTTGCCCTTGAACCCCAGATGATTGCATATTATTAAGCTTGTGTGACTAATCTAGAATCTACTGTTAATGTTAATTGTTACCTTCTAGGTGGAGTTCGTGAAACTGGCAGGTAGATCTTCAAGTGGTTATGGTCCATACAAAGAGTGTTTGTTTCCTGAGTATTGCTGGACCTCAATTGCTGGAAGGAGTACTGTAATCCTAGAAGGAAAAAGTGGTACATGAGCCATGATGGAGCTTTGTGTGAGGTTAGTGGACCCCAAATAGCAGCCTGGAAATGTTACACAAGTACAAACTTTCTCTCTACCTTCATGCTTTTATGTGGAAAGGCATTGATTGAGTGGGTGTGATTACTTTTTTCTGTGTTCAGAGATAGTGTGTCTGTTCATGGGAAGCAGCAATCGAAGATCTGTTAGAGCATGGTTCATTCAATTGTGTTGGAGAATGGATTCTTGGGAGTAGTCCTTGTTTGAGCAGAACCCAATGTCATCTTCTCCAAGTAAACACATTGAAAAGTTCACCTTCCTAACCCACTCAGTTTTACTAATACAACCACTATGATAAATTATTAATTAGCTACTTGTGGGAAATTAATGTTGCATCAAAATGTACAGTTTCCTTAACCCTTTCATGGCTGAATAACTTTCATGATGAATAACTTGGAAATTATTTTCAAATTTTCTCTTCACAGCCTTGCTTTTCATCCAATATGCCTGAATGACAGCATGTTTGAACAAATGATGCATCTGCAAACAGCCCTCATTGAGAGCTATCAAATGGTAATATTGAAAACTGGTTTTTCCATTATAGCAATGCAAGAACAGTCTCTTGAGATATTATCCTTATAATGATCATATGCAGCAGCATAGCAAGGGGGGCACATGCCCTCCCCCCCTCTCTCTTTTCAAGAAAAGAAGCCAAAAAAGAAGGAAAAGACCTAGAAATGCATGATAACAGTATCCCAGTTTCCAGCTCCCCATTTTGTGCACTGCCCCCCCCTTATGTCCCATGCCCCCCCCCCCTCTTTTTCCATTCACACCACACTTATAATCATATGCATGAAAGGGTTAAGTTGTTTGAACCAGTTTTTTAATTTATTGAATGATGACATGTGTTATATCATGTTTCTAATTCTAGGCTACTGCAAAAGCTATTTCACATTGGAAATCTCAAACTGTGGGACTGATTGTGTTAAGATGATGCCCTATTATGGTAAATCAAGTTTTGTGGATGCTAAAGGTCCTTTTCAACCCCTATTATAGGTGCAAAAGAGGTCGAAGTTCATGCTTTTTGGAGGCAGAGTTCAGCAGCATAACACTGCCTCTCCTCTTGTATAGCTATACAACAGGAATACATCCCAGGGATGCCCTCAACTGGTCAACTTCTAGGTCTTCATGAGACATGACTATCAATATACATAATTTGTTGCATGCTTTCTACAGGGTGATTATAAAGAAAGTTCTCTTGTTCAACCTACCAGATCTTATAAACAGTTAGACACAGGATTGTGAAAATTATTATGAATGCTGCAGGGGCCATGTTAAAGACAATGCTGTACATGTCATGTGTTGTCAACAAAAGTGAACAAATAGCCCCTCAATGGGCTCCTCCATTATCCACAAAGTATTGCATTCGAGGGATAACAGACACAACAGCAGCATGTCACATATCCTGTGGTAGACTGGCCATCTCCCAGACAAGGAGGACCGAAATCTTGTGATCCTGATATTTTCCTTATGAAAGGCCACCACATTCCACATTATTGCATTATCCACTATGCAATGCATAGTGGATAATGGAGGAGCACACATTGAACACAACTGATTTTCATGAGGGGCCATTTGTTCACTTTTGTTGACAACACATGAAATGTACAGCATTGTCTTCCTCATGGCTCCCTTAGCATTTGTATTAATTTTCATGATCCTGTGTCTAACTGTTTACAAGGTCTGATGCATTGAACAAGGGAACTTTCTTTATATTCTTTATAATCACCCCATATATCTCGGAAGTAATGTATTTGGGATTCTTTAAAAAATCCTATTGTTGTACTTGTCAGCATAAAATGGAGATATCCCAGAAAGTCCTGAACCATTTGACTTGTCTAAATGTTGTCAATCGAAGCACTCTAAAGACATCTTGCATTGAGTGCTTTCTCATTTTGTGTATCCATGGATGAGATGCATTCAAAGTGTCATGTTTTTGCCAGTGATATTGCAAGACTTCTCAAGTAATTTCTTATTCTAAAGGATCATTCATTTGGCATAATATTGTCAGGTAGAACATGACATGACTCATGATGTACCAACTTGAAAGTTTATTGCAACCTGTAAATGTTTCAAAGGAATCTCTGTCCAGACATTCATGACCTGTAATCTGGTTGCAGAGAATATGAATTCCAGGAGTTCAACCTTTATGTTCAACAGAGTAGATGCAATTGGACACTTCATTATCCATTATGTTATTTGGCAAATATTTGGAAAATGTTGCATTGAAGAAAGTTTAGTTTCATGAGAAGGATAATTCCTCAGATGTTAAGGATTACTTGTGCAGAATTTTATTTCTTGATATTCAGAAGTTTGGCTGCTAAAGCACTGACAGACTATTGCCAGATGGACAGACATACAACTAATTGCTAATTTCTGTGGAAGCTATACAGTTTTTGTATGCACTAATGTGTTTTAGGGATCCAAATTGTTGGATGTGACATCTGATGTACAGAATGTGTTTAATTGTATTACAGATAATGATTCAACATATAACAGCTGCAACAATTAGCCTCTGGCAGTAACAGGAAATTCCACCAGCCAGTCTTGCCTACTCTCCTTTGCCAGAGACACCGTGTATGTCTGTGCAAAGAAAAGTGTTGGATTCAGTGAAACCTAAGGTTAAAGTCACTTGCTCTAACAGATGCATGTCATATAGGACAGCGGTTCCCAGACTTCTTTGAATCACAACTCACTTGCTGATGTTAAAAAAATTTTGTGACCCACCAAAATCCAGAATGGAATCCAGAATCAACCCATTCTGCAGGGCATGTTTTATCCTGAGCAAATGCGGATGCAGAGATTTTTTACAATAAAAAATGTTCACGACCCACCTTGATGCCTCTCACGACCCACAGTTTGGGAACCACTGATATAGGAGAACCAATCAATTTAGTAATCTTGTGCATTCAATAGATTATGTGAAAGCCTGAAATTTATGCCTGTTCCCCCATGGTTACAAAACTAAGCCAGGAAAGCAAGACTATTTTGTGACTATGTCAGATGGGACAGAATAGTGTTGGATGTGACATGTCCTTAGAACTTATTTGAAAATGAAAAGTCAGTATATCTTTTCACATTCTTTTCAAAATATCATTTAAATATGAAGAATTTACATCTTCTGCTAACACCCCAGCTGATTTGAAATATCACTCAGCATGGGAGAACCCACACTGATATCTGTTCCAGTAGTCCACATCAGTCTCTCCATTTCCATCATGTCCATGAATGTCATGAGAGTGGCACTATTAACATGTAATAAAAATGACTTATTTTTTCATTATTTAGGATAATCTTATTCATGCCTTCAGGAATTTGAGGTTATAAAACTTTGTATTGAATTTGTTCATGTGTAGAATAATCTTTCCTCCTCTTCTCTGCTTATGCAATCATTGATTGAGAAATCTCTGGAGCATTATCAGTCAGTCAGAGAAATTAAGTTTTGGTCTTTTTTTAAAAGAATTATTGAGAAAGTGAGAATGCAGCTCTTGTTGAAATTCCTGTTATTGTTATCTTATACAGGGTCATAAAAAATGGATGCTCTATTTTGTTTTATTTGTATATGACAAGGGGTTTGAGTCTAATCTTTGAAAATTGCACCATTGCACAGTGGTACAAAAGCTGGAAATTCTTGGACAAAAGTCATATTTTGAAAATGGAGGGGGAAAAAATCCTTTGCCATGAAAAATTATGGGTTAAAGTCCTTTTCCCGTATCTATATTTGCTTAGGCCTTACTTCGGTCCTTTATCAGCCATTACGTGGAGCAAAGGTCAATGATTCGAACTTTTCTTAAAATATAGGTACTTGATGCCAAAACATGACAGAAGTTTGTCTTGTGGTGTGACTGTTCTTGTCAATTTGTTTCCATCAAATGTGATCTGAAGGTGTACCTAAAGGTGAGTCTTGTTTATTGTATGTATAATTTTACTCCTGCTAAATATGCATAACTTATATTATTTATTAGATCCTGTGTAGTTGATTGGCGAACTACTTTGGATGACAATGCACAGTTATCGAGTGAATTTGAAATACTTCTCAGGATTTCTCAGAGAATTCCTCACAGGCCATAAAGTACCTATTAATGAAGAAGAAAATGAGCCCCTAATCTCCTGCGCCCAGCTGCGCCTAAAGTGAAGAAATTATTTTTATATTGCTGGTCTCGCAATTTCTTCAGGAAGGATGCCCAAGCCTTTGACCTGAAGGGACCTCTGCAACACCATGAGGGCGATGAAGCAAGTGGACCATGCTGACTCAGGACTCATTCCTATGCTGGTCAAGTTCATTCAAGACCACTACGAAATAAATGAACATTTTCATGAATCGCGGCCATGTCAATTGTCGAAAAGTGTCAAGATTTTCAAAAGTCTTGCCTCTGTTCATTGGGCGAAGGCTTGCAGAAAGACAGAGAGGTTTTTAGTGAGTAATGCCAATTGGCTGGAAGTGGTATTCCAATGGCCACAGATTGGCTGTTGCAAGATTCCTCTTCGAGTGGCCTCCATTGGAAGGCCAGAAAAACCATTCCATGAGAGTGGCGACAGGTCTAAATGTCGAAAAACCGCAACATTGACACAGATGGCATCACCTGAAGAGTTGGCATTTGCAGCACAAGTAAAGCTTCGACAAGAGAGAAAGTTTGATGCCGCCAACTTATTGAAAGACGTCGTTCAAGCATCACCAGCCAGGCTCAAAGAAATGGCAACAGCCTATGTTCAGGCCAAAAGGAAACAGGAAGTCAAACCATTCACACCCGATGAAGCTCTTGCCCTGTATATAGAGGCAGACTTGTCAAGGTCCAGCTATGAATTGATACGAAAGGAAGCCAAGGTCCGGAATGCAGACATTTATCCCCGGTATGTAGTCCTCCTTGAAGCCAAGAAATGCTGTTACCCATATGGAGTGAAGGTGACCGAAGTAGGAGCAGAGATTCCATTGCAAGAACTGTTGAATCACACTGCCAGTCGACTGGTTCAGCTGCAGATGCCAGTTTTGGAAGTACTTCCGGACAAATGCCCCTTGAACTTCATTCTCATCAGTAAGTGGGGATTTGATGGAACATCTGGGCAATCTGAATATAGGCAAAAGTTTGCACAGCCTGACAAGGAAATAAAAGAAGATTGCATTTTCGTGACATCTTTGGNAGTGCACTTGCAGAATCTCGGCAAGAAACCGAGAAACCGTGTCGACCCGATCCAGAAACTTGCCGGATCGTCTCGGGGGGCCGGATGCCGAAACACTCCGCACCGCATCTCTCGCGTTAGTGTACTCGACCCCCGGATGTTGCCGCCCGGCATGGCTTTCGAGCGCACAATCGACGTACAGCCGAAATGAACCGTGAGAACGATGACCGGGACCCTCACGTCCACGCCGTTACCATGGCTCCCGGTGCTCGCAGACGCGGCGCCTCCATCTCTTCGCCGGGAAACTGCAGCGTCGAGGGAATGTTACCGTCACGCTAACCAAGACCTGCCCATCCGTGAAGACCTCGACGACCTGCCACCGCATCGTCTCGCCCAGAGGACCGACGGAGGAGCGCCTGGAACGATTCCAACGTCCCAGACGGGGACCTCGTCTCCTAGTCTTGGAGCCGACTCGACAACCTCGAGGAGCGTCGCTTACCCGCATAGCAGTGATCTACCGTGAACCGTATCCGCACCGGACGGGGGAGGTGCGGCCACTTCTTCTACCGATGGAAAATGAAACCATCTTCATCGTGCGATTGCGGAGCCCCCGATCGAACCCCGCAACACATCGTGACGCATTGCTCGAAGAGAAAATTCTCTGGTAGCCTCTTGGACGTACATCACCTGACATCCGCAGCACCATCCTGCATGACACGCTTGGATATAGACATTTAAGATGCTACTCGATGTCCATACGAAAGAAGAATAAGAAGAACTCTTTACTCGACCCAAAGTGAACACGAAGTGAATTTTCCACATCGACGTCGCTAGATTCTAGGGACATACCGAGGACCATAGAATATGCCTTGCCTTGGCTTCGATTGTTTACAAATGTAACAAAACGAATTCCATCAGTTCCGGCTTTCTGTCGGCTTCCGGGGATGAGATAAGACCTTTATCGCCAGAGTTGCTGTAGTGCTCGAAGGTTTCCCCGAAACGAGACACCGCCACGGAGTGCCCGGTCTTCGCGGAACGGCATTAGGTCCTTCGGGCGTGTCCGCCTTCCACACGCACTTCCCCCTCCGGCCCTCGCGGAAGACGGATCCTTCCAAGTTTACGGAGAGAGTGGCCGCGAGCGGCCGTGTAGACAGGGTTGCTAGGCGTACGAGTGAGATGCCGGATCCGACATCCTACACGATCCTCCAAATTATTGGACAAAAGTCATATTTTGAAAATGGAGGGGGAAAAAATCCTTTGCCATTAAAAGTTACGGGTTAAAGTCCTTTACCCGTATCTATATTTGCTTAGGCCTTACTTCGGTCCTTTATCGGCCATTACGTGGAGCAAAGGTCAATGATTCGAACTTTTCTTAAAATATAGGTACTTGATACCAAAACATGACAGAAGTTTGTCTTGTGGTGTGACTGTTCTTGTCAATTTGTTTCCATCAAATGTGATCTGAAGGTGTACTTAAAGGTGAGTCTTGCTTATTGTATATATAATTTTACTCCTGCTGTATATGCATAACTTATATTATTTATTAGATCCTGTGTAGTTGATTGGCGAACTACTTCGGATGACAATGCACAGTTATCAAGTGAATTTGAAATACTTCTCAGGATTTCTCAGAGAATTCCTCACAGGCCATAAAGTACATATTAAAGAAGAAGAAAATGAGCCCCTAATCTCCTGCGCCCAGCTGCGCCTAAAGTGAGGAAATTATTTTTATATTGCTGGTCTCGCAATTTCTTCAGGAAGGATGCCCAAGCCTTTGACCCGAAGGGACCTCTGCAACACCATGAGGGCGATGAAGCAAGCGGACCATGCTGACTCAGGAGTCATTCCTATGCTGGTCAAGTTCATTCAAGACCACTACGAAATAAATGAACATTTTCATGAATCGCGGCCATGTCAATTGTCGAAAAGTGTCAAGATTTTCAAAAGTCTTGCCTCTGTTCGTTGGGCGAAGGCTTGCAGAAAGACAGAGAGGTTTTTAGTGAGTAATGCCAATTGGCTGGAAGTTGTATTCCAATGGCCACAGATTGGCTGTTGCAAGATTCCTCTTCGAGTGGCCTCCGTTGGAAGGC